AGAGTACGGCATTTGTTGTGCCATATTGAAGAAGGGTGCGCTTGGTATGTTCCATGAGGCCCAAATTTGTTACAAAGATTGGTTGTAGACTGAATGTACATGGATTTCAGTGTGTGTGTGCCCCTTGTAGTCACAGGGATTCTTTGGAATTGTAGTTTTGAGCAGGGGGGCACAGGAGGCCCATAGAGCTGTGCCCAACGAAGCTCTCTATGGTGACCTCAGAATATGCAGCCTGATCAGCTGCACGTACCTGCTGAATTTTAACATTTGCCGAGTTAGCTTCTGCAGTCACGCACGCAACGTCGTCATCTCGCCCTGTTCGTCGTTTTCGACCTTACGCTTTTGGCCTCACTTCCTCTTGAAGACCCCCAGGATCCAGGGCTTCGTACATGTACTCTTAGGCATTGGACGCCTAGGCCGGCGTGTGGCACCGCTGTCAAGTCAGTACGCATTTCCATAAGTGTGTGCAATCAGTGCCTCGCTGCTAGTCTGCCCACTCAGCATCCCTGTTGCTTGACCCTGTGATCCCACCAGTGTACATTTGAGCAAGAGGGTCCAGGGTCAAGACCTTGGAAAGTTCTGTCAACTTGAGGTAACACACTATCTTAGATTTTGCATGATTTTGCAAAGTTGTGTAACAGCGCCCAAGTCCAAACTGTGGTGGCATAAGCATTTCGCAAGTTCATGCCCTTTGACTACCACAGCCCATATATCATGCGGTTTGACCACCGCTCGTTTCAGCGGCGCTAGCTCGGAAGAAAAGTATCGGTGATAGCCCGTGTGCTCTGTTTTGCAAGCTCGTGGAAACCTATGCCAGCCACCTTGACAGTTTCCCGCTGATCATTCCTTACCATCCCGTAGAACATCCGACTTGCCAGCGCAGCTTCGACTGCTTTGTTTGACAGATGCGGAGGCACATGGCACATGTTCAAGCGTTACAAGCAAGATTACAATTACAATATGAATCATGAGACCTTCTTAGTTTATAGTTTGTTTGCAGGAACGGCAAGTCAGGTCAGAAGGAGAAGAGAGCATTGTGTGTGTGGTTGCACTTAGGCATTCAGCAGCTCATATTGTTAAGGCTAAGGGGCAACCCTTTGAACACTGAAAGTTAGTGAGAGAAGGAGATCTAAACCCAAAGAGCCAAGGCCAACCACGCTCGACCATCCCAAAAACTGAGGGTGTCTTCTTCAGACTTGCTCTCCACATAATCCAACTTTGAACAGTTCAAACAACAGATACGCAGATAGGGGAAGCGACATTGGCTGAGGTTGATGCGCTTCTTGGCCCTCATGGAGTTGTCGATGTGCTGAAGGCAAACTGAGAATTCTGCCTTCGTGGAGTGAGCATGAGTGAAACATGTGGTGTGTGTTCTCACCACGCCTGACAACTCCCAGCCTCAGGAAGATTGCAAGACATGTTGAAATGTCAGATCTGGACAACATGGTGGGGTGAGACATAGGGTCATAGGGTGTAACATTCTGTTCGGTCAGTGAAAGGGCAAAGATCTGGCCTGCAGGTTGACGTGGAAGGCTACGAGTGGCCAATCATTGAAGGCGCTTACCAAGCCCTTTCCACTGGCAGGTTGGTGCCTGATGTGTTCAAAGCCTTTAAGCCTTCAAGACGGGGCAGGCAAGTCTGCTTTTCTTGGCAGCTCAGGGTTGGCCTCCTCATCATTGAGTATGGTGACAAGTGGTCCTTTGATACCTCGGAGGCAAGTTTTAGTCTTGTGGGATTTCAGGCCGTCGTTCAAGGTGACATTTTGGAGTGTCCCCAGAGCATTGTGATTGCCAAAGAGTTTGCTGAGGCAGCTTTGAAGTTCCGCTCCGCATTTCATCATGCCACTTTGCATTAATTAGCTGCGAGCACTGGGATGTGTCAAGACAACTATTGTTTCCAGTTTTTGCCATTGTTTCCTACTCTTAGATCTTTTAATCATGACAAGTTGACAGAAAGTGTGACCAGGCGAAGACCCAGGAGCAACAAGACGCCGCAAAGCCCACGCTGCTCCATCCCCGGTGAAGATGTTTTCGTAACAATAATGCTATTGATTTGTTTCCAGCGCCCACAGTCAAAAATATGTGACTCTGTGTGCTATACTACTCTTCTCTCATTCTGTGTGCAAGCTGCTTCTCAGGTGGTCAGTAATGCAGTTCATGCAGTCTCTTGGGTATGCTGCTTGGATTGTGGGGATTCAGCTGTGCGGCTATTGTGTCACTACGCCCCCATCCCAGTACGCCTCATGACTCCTGTGCCTATTCATGTGCTGCATTAACATTTTCTGTTTAAGGCAATCCATTCGTTTTGGCTGCGTGAAGTTTTTTCGGACGACTGTGCTTTTAGGTGAGCCCCTATAATATATATCTATATAATCATAACTGGCACTCCTGGCAGTGCAGTTTTCTTGCAAATTTGTGTTCTTTTGAGCCAACATTTGTAAAGAAAATTGAATTTGAATGCATGTAGAGTTGAATTGGAACTGAATTAGAATTACACTACAATTGAATTAGGTGTGTTCAACATATTTTAAATAGTCCATTTGTCATAGCAAATGGGCCAAAAAGCGCACTGCCACAACTGCCCGCTCTCTAACTAATTCAATTCCATACCAAGCGCTATTAGGTTGAAGGCTATCGCTCCTAGGTTGGAGGCCATCGCTATTAGGTTTCACTCTACTTGCAACTTTAAAAAAAATGAACCGATCCATATCAAACAAGGATGGCTACTTCGTTGGCTCAAAAACTCCGCTGCCTATTTCAGGAGCTGCTTGGCTGCACGGTGGTGAGATGTGCTGCATCAGTGAAATGCGTGTAACAGTGTAACACATGCACTAAGGATCAATGGCACGATGCTGGCCTCTCAAAAACCTCGTGAATTTCTCGATCTGTGGTAGTGCAAGTTGCTATTGTGAAAGGGTGTGGCGGGCTGAGATGCGGCAGTGCATTGCACATCTCAGGTCTATGAGGTGTGCCTTGCTCCGCATCGAATATGCTACTAGCCGGCACGCTCATGGTCAATCTCCCTCCTCGCGCGAAGCCCATTGGATCACAGCTGACAAACTGCCAAGGCTATGATGGTGCTGGCAAAGTGTGCTGGTTCGATGTAGCATTTGCACACCAAAGGCAGGAAGTCAATGACACACCAACATAAACCAACCACATGCATCGTGATGTCAGATTATAGTATAATTTATACACATTATGTTTGGTCGGTGCCTTGTTTTGACTACATTGTGCAGAAGAGAGGGCCCACAATATACTGACTGTTGCTTTGGGGGGCAGTCATTCTCACGGGCACCAGCAGTGACACGACAGTGTGCATAGATATATAGCTTCCCAGCGGTGTTACCAGCAGGCAGGTGGCTCGGATTTAGTTGATGTGTTTGCTTGCTTGCTTGTTTGTCTGTTTGTTTGTTTGTTTGTTTTTCCCCACACACTCTGGGAACATAGGGGTTCTTAGTTCTTGTGATAATAGATCGGAGGGGTGCGCATCCGCGTCCAGCTAATTCGCTGCTACTATTTACAGTGCATTCACTCACCTCGAGACAATCGAAGTGCATTTCGACTGCGCAGGCTCGCAGAATCGGGCTCTCGTCGTGGTGCCGTGCGCATTTGATAACTTGTCGTGGCAGGCGCAGGGGAAACCTCATGTTTTGGTGGTCCAAAGCCGGTTTTTCATGACAGGCGCAGGAGATCGTCCGAGCGGTTTTCGGTCGATGTGCAGATTTCGTGGCAGGCGCAGTGCTATGGACATGGTGGTGGTCTGCGGCGTGCCCTGATTTCGTAGCATGTGCGGTGAGTCGTGACCTTTGGACATGTGGCTCGTTTTCAAGGGTTGGAGGAGGTCTTCTGAGGAGATGAGAGCGAAAGCTGCGTTTTGGCAGCTTGATGTTGTGCTTGGAAGTGCTTTTGGTGCGAATCGCCTTGGCAGGGCTGCGCAATGCATTCTCCCCAAATGCCCATCGGCTTTGCCAGATTGCTATCGCTTTCACAAAGCTGCGACCGACTCCAGACCATTGTCACCACCTCGTCGTGGCAGAGTTGTGTGACTTATTTTTCTTGGGGTGAGGGTGTCAGTCGAGCTTCGCTGTTGTCCTTTGCAAAACTGATGTTATCAGATGTGTTGGCTTCAGAAAATCGTCATTGCGGCTCATTGGGGTTATAAAATTGCTGGAACAAGCTGCACAGAAATATACGGAAATTGAATTTATGGTGCAGTTTAAGGAAGACCACGCGTTGTTGAAGTGAGAATCGTGTGCTCCCTCCACCGAACAGTCCAAACAGGGGTTTGAAGTGATAATTAAGTTGCAAGATGTTATACGCACGTGGAGGTGTTGTGCGGATTTGTGGGGTTGGCTATTGATCTAACAAACCTACACATCAATTTTGCCAGTGGGCCAGTGGGATTTGGTAGTTCTTTCCTGCTCGCTCACCGCTCACCTTGCTATTTCCTTCGGTCCCATTTTTCGTCCACTCTCACCACACCTGCTTTGTGGATTGGCCTTGTGTCGGGTTCTGTTTGCCCTTCTGTCTTGCCACAAGCCATCTCACATCTTAATATGTTCGTGCGCTGCTTGCCACGAGAGTTCATTCGGCTTCGGATGCCAAACCTTGAAAGCATGGTGCATGGTTGCACCCTATTGCTTTTCAAGTGTATAATATGTATGATCCCGTATGGGCAACAAACATGAACAACAGACTGCTAGCCCGTCCTGCTTTAGAGAGAACACTGGCACATCTTTTGGTGAACGACATTTGAGCTATTGGAGAACAGCTTTGAGGACAACATACTTGTTCTCTTATTTCAGCACCCGTTCTCAAACTCAAAGCACTTGTGCAGCTGATTTGTGTCCCATGGCAGGCACTTGCTATCTGATGCAGTCAGGGAATTGGTGTATTGGAGCGAGCTGAAGGAAAAAGTTTGCGCTTGGTGCATTGCTAGACTCTTTATGCAGATCACGGCTTTTTTTTGCATTGCTTTTGCAATCATACGCTATTGAGGTCCAGTTTCTGGAGTTTTGCTTCGAGTGGCTGCCACAGTCGAGGTGCAACTCCAAAAGTTGATAAGCTGGTGGAACCAAATTTATGTAGCGAGACTATCCACATATATTGGGCCCAACTGTGAGGATGCTTACAAAGCCTCCTCCGCGATCCCTGCCTGCAAAGCCCATTCCGTTGAAGGAACAGGCTGGGCTGGCACTTTAGGCAGACATCTGTACTTGTCAATTTGCTGCATGTTTGCTGCACGGCACCCACGCACAGTGTGCAGTATTGAAGCTTCAGCCAGTGAGATTCGAAAGCGTCAAATTCAGATGACACCATGCTAGAAGCATTAAATTGCTTGTCCCTTCGCCTGAGGCCGAGCCAAAGGTCTTGAAATATCCCAAGAGGCCAAGCTCGGTTGCAAGGTAATGATGTAGACAATTGGCCTCATCAAAGCTCCCTCCAGGCCGGCTGTTGGAAAAGTTCGGCCACCTGAGCCGAAAGTACTGCCCAGAGCAGTTCACAGTTTGCAATTGCCCGCCTGGTGCCCCATTCTTGCAAGTGCACTACAGGCTGTTTCAATCTGGCAGACCGCAGTTCATCAGTTGAGCCTGGTTGTGAAGTAGCAACACAGTTCGAATCCTGTTGCACTGTGCGTTAGGTCATGCCAACCCTGCAGCTGAGCAAAGCAAGCGGGCTACGATCTCAACAAACTCTCCTGCATCGGGCTTTTGCGTTGCCTGATTCTGTGTATGAGTTTGGGGGTTCTTTCTTTTTTTATCTTCACTTTCAGTTCGCCCACTGACTGACTGGACCTGACTGTCACTTGCAATTTGCAGCTCAAGAATCCCACATGGTGTTCGGAAGTCAGCTCGGGGCAACCTGCCGGTGAAGCATATTATTATTGAACCATCATGCAAGCGCGAAGGAGTCTGGCATTCTCGTTTAAGAACACTTTGAGGAACAAAACTACATGCAAGCCGGACATGCTGCTTGGAAGCCAATCGAAGCTGGAGTTGCTTTCAAGGCAGCCTTCAGGGTCCAGGACGCTGGCTAAACAAACTTCGCAATCCAAGCCTTGGCATGAGCTTCCGCCACATCAATTGGCGGTGGTCACAACACTGGGCAACTTAGCATCCCTTTCTGCAGCTGCCAGCCAAGATCACGCTGTGGTTCGACTGCTCTCTGGTGTTTCCTCTTTGGTGTCAGTGGGCTACAACTCGTTCATGCCAAAACCCTTGAAGACGCATCAACTGACTGCTGTCGCATGGAGCTGTGCCTTTGCCATGCTCCACTTTGTCAACTTTGGATTGTTGCTTTGGGAGAGCAGCCATGCTATTAAACTCAGTGACGAAGAGGAGGACATTTATGAGCATGGCTTTCAAGTCCATCGAGTCACTCCACGCCAATTCCGCAAACTGTTGGATTCAGGTGCGAAATTTCGAGATTACCAGCCTGGTGCTTTGATCACAGTATCTCGCCTTTATTGGGAAATGATGCGTGCAATTCTCCAAGCTCTGAAGACCGAGGTAAAAGGAAAACCTGAGTAGTGCAAAGGGGTCCAACATGGTCCAACAAGAGTGAAGTCCCCAAAGCATCCAACGTTCGAGAAATGCCAAAAGGTTTAATGACTGCATGATTGCCGACTGCAAACTGATGCAATGGCTAGCATGATTGTTCTAACTACAACCGGGGCCCAAAAAGCAAGTAAGTGGTGATCATCCTCTCGCAGGTACGTGCAATTAATTTGCGTCCAGATTGCATATCACGGCAAACTTATAGTGTTTTCGTTCAGCGGCGACTTCAAGCATGCCCACCGCTCCCCTGCAAGTTCTAGATATAAAGGATGAGATATAAAAACAAAGCCAAAGGGTACCTTGCGATTCAAATCTTGTATGCACACACATATATATATATATCTATATGTACATACTCATATGTACGTATCACTGTGCTTATTCAATATAACATGCTTTATGTACATCCCACATATCCATGTTTGTTTGTTTGTAGTTTGTTTGTTTGTTTGTTTTTTAACGGACTATTCTGTAATGTATTTTGTGGACTCTTCTGATATGTTTTGGTCACGAGTTCCTGTGTTGCAGCCTACATGTAAGGAATACGGAAAGCCTGTCAGCCGAGTCATTTACGTGACACATGGAACCTGCATTGGAGAGCGTGTTGGAGGTTGTCCTGTTCTGGAATACCACCAGGTTGGGCTGGACAGTTTGTGTTTGCAACACAGTTTTTAATTTACGAAGGCAGCTGTGAAATGTACGGCAACACGACAACATATGAATGATTGCATGAAGCAAGGCTGAGAGTCGACTTGGCAGGACGTGTTCATTGGCCACTTGCAGCCCAAGATATGGCGTGCAGAATACTTGGGCTCTGGGGATGTTGCGAACATAGAGAGCCTTGGCAAAAGGGTTAAAGTGGTTCTTGACCAGTGTTGCAGTCAGGGTGGCTCAAGGAGAAAAGTAAGGAAAATAATGGAACTGAATCTTAGGCTGACCTACCAAATCCATACCCGCTCAGGGATCTTGACAGTGATGCAGAAGAAGATTGGTTGATAGAAAAGTGCGCGAGAAGGCGCCGGCAGCAGAATTGACTGGGACGGAAGTGGGTGCCATCGAATCTCAAGTCGGCTAGGGAGAGGTTGTTTACTCATACGGGAGAAAGATAGAGAAAGCTACCTTCAGGGATTCTCACTACATTATGCTTTCATATGCTTTCATTGCCGTGCAGGAAGCGACGATCACCCAAAGACCTTCGATCTTTGCTGGAAGCCGGGTTGGCTGAACGCACCGGGCCCATTACAAAAGTGCAGGCAGGATGATGGCTTTCGGAAGGCCCATTGCGGCATGTAGCTCCATGACATCTCCAGATGTATGTAAGACCCTTAAGTTTCCCTAAAAATCTAGAAACCAAATCATTAGTGCGAGCGCTTCTTCAAGGAAGCTGCCCGCCGCCTGAGAAGCGTGAGCTATCCTGGAAGAAGCGTGAGCTATCCTGCGTCCGAAGTAGTAGCTACTTAAGGTACTAGCCTACCTCTAGCTACTACCTGCCCCTAGGGGCCTAGTTCTGTCAGTAGTAGCGTTCTTGTGGCTACCTCCCTACTGGCTACCTACCTCTATCTGCTGTGCTACCTACCTCAGTTGCGGCCTACCTTCCCCTCCCCCGTCAACTTGCTATATTAACCAAAACACATCCAAAACACGTTTGAAATCATTTGGACATTTCAACTAATGCCACCAAACTGCTAGTATGCGTCGCATGCGTTCAGTCCGGAGCTTCCTGGAACGGAACAACAAGAGCGGGCCCTGACGGGTGTCGAGCCGCCGGCTTACTTATGATGTCGATTGTTTGAGAGAGTTTCTTCTTCGCTTCATCAGTTAGTTACACTGCGATCGCCAGAGTCTGACAACCTTGCAGATTGTGAATCAATTCAGGTGATTGAATGGCCACTTGGGAGCTTCGCATGCCGGGTTGGTTCAGACGAGTCGTTGTGCAAGGCTATGGAAAATATGTTTCAGCCTCAATCAAACCGACACAGATGCTTTGGCAAGAATCGAGAAATCCTTGTGGACACCTGGAGACCTTGCCTCAGGTGCACACTCAGCTTGGCAGCAAAGATCAGCCAAGGGGCGAGGGGCAAAGCTTTGGAAGGCTACTCTGAGCTCTTGTCTTTGGTGGTCCGCGATGGGATCGTGGATCCGGAGGAGCGACAGGCTTTGTCACACTACCGAGCGCGGCATGCGGTTCCTGACACCGAACATTGGCGAATGTTGGATGAATTGGGTTGGACACTTGAAGAGTTTGACCAGGGAGTTCTGAAATCCCACCACCAGAAATTGTGCACATCACGGCAAGCAAGCTTTTGGCACTGGCTCCTTCCATAGGAATGAGGTCCTGCACACGCTGGACATCGCTGGACCCAATCCTGTCGAACGGACTCCGATAGCCTGGAACACGCGGAACAACTGGACCAAGGTCGACCAAGGTCAGCAGAAGGTTGACGTGTCAAAGCAGCAATTTCGAAGTGTCCGAGATGGCAAAAGGTAAAACGTGTCTTCAGGACATTGAATGTGAAGGTTTGTGGTGGATGCTGAACTGCCACTCACAGCTTCAAGTCTAAAAAAGTGATGGCATGGCTGCCATGAGTGCACATGAGTCAGTATACTGCATAATTGTAATACATATTATTCAAAAGGATCTGCCTGGTTTGTAATTAGTAGTTGAGGCAAAATGCTCGTTTGTTGGAAGAAGATCATCTTTGCTACGGAAGATGGCAGCAGCATGTTCTTCGCTTCCTGAATTCCTTGGCCCAGGCTGGCCAAAGGCCGCCCACAGCCACCTGCTCGGCCACCTGGACAATTGCCCAGACCTCCGCAGGCGTTCGACTCTAGATCTACTGGCACCTTCTAGATAATTTCTAGATCATTCTGGTGAGGAGGTTTTGTAGAACCACTTTTTCGAGTCGTGTTGTGTAGAGCGGTTCTGTATTCCCTTTGAATCATTGAATGGTTGCGCGCGCAGAGACACACACACACACACACATACATCCGCACACCTTACACGTGTTTGTTTGTGTACACTATCACTGTACACGTCTATCATCAATCCTGTATGCACAGCATGCAGACTAAGAAATGAATGAAATTGAGTGATGCTACAGCAGCAGCAACCATCGAAGAGCTCCAGGGACCGCCGCCACCTGGACATCTCCTGGCACGGGCTCAATCCCCTGATTCTGCGGCACCAGAGTTGGCTTTCACAGGTGCAGGCCTCAGTGGCTAACTGCATCCCTTAAAAAGAGCACTCTCTGTGAAGGTCGATGCGCATTTTGGCAAGTGTTTTGTCTTCACGCCAGGCTTTTCAGAAATCTCGAAGGTAGCACCGGGAACGACCGCCGCTCAGACTGCCAGAATTGAAAGGGGGTGCAAATTCATTCCAGATCTAAGGATGGGTCCGTTTGGCTTGACACTGCCCGAATTGCCGCCCTTGCCCCAGGGCAATTTGAAGGCCTCAACAGATTCCACTCCCTTGCTTCATTCACTCCCGTTTCGCAAATTCGTTCTGCTTTCAACAAGCTTGTTTTTCCAGCTTCTCATGCATTCCCATGCCACCTCAAGCTCATGGCAGGCCATTGCCGATGGAAAGCCGGCTCCGGCTCCCCCGCCCAAAGGCTCTGCCGGCCCCAGGCTTGGTGACATACATCGCCTGAGCTGCTGGTCACAGCTGTTAGTCAGGGTTGAAGCCATCAGGTCTGAGTATGTTTCCTTAATCAGAAAAGGAGCTCAACTGGCAGGCCGCCAAAAACCCCACCACCGGTGAGCAAGATGTTCTTCGCTGGGGCCTTGCTCTTCCAATTTCATGCACCCAAATCCGATTTTCAGAGCAATCTCTGCTTCAGTGCTCGGGACTGCGATCAGGTGGCGCCTAAAGGCGTACCATTGGCAGTGCCTGCACTGCCTGCGCCACCAAGCAATCAGCCAAGGCAGGCACCCGAGATTGCTAGAATGTAGCTTGCGGATTGCTGTCTGAGAATAGCAGTGCGGATTCAGAATGCAGCAGTTTTGTAAACGCTGCAATTTTAGATGGCTTCTTATGATGCAAGTGTATTGGTGTGGAGGGCGTGCCCTGCTCTCCCGAAGCTTCCGCCAGCGAGGCTGCTGTAGTTTGAGGAGTGAATCGGTTTGGGCATCTATGCTTGTATTGGGCCTTGAGGACGTTCAGTCAGCTCAGCACTATCAGATCTGGCTTGGCACCTGGACGTGCGGACAAAAAGGAAACGATGGAACTGCCTGCTGAGCATTGGCACTAAGGAGGTGGCTCGCCACGACAGCCGCCGCCGCCACCGGTATAGATCTCACGCTCTTTTTAGAACTGAAGGACGCCAACTGTTACAGCTGTAGTAGTAGATGCAGTGTAGCTTTGACTCCATTGACTCAGGCACCACCTACTGAACCAAAAGTACCAGGCGAGCAAGACATGTTGCAATTGGACTTGCCCAATAGTAGGTACCTGTACATCTATGAGTTAATTAAACATCCATCATTGATCATCCTAGCGTGTGTTCAGGCCTTTTGTCTAAACCAGGCTTGACAACATCTCCAGCAGCAACAACTCCGAGAGCAACCGCTTCACACGAGGACAGCTTCAGAGTGCCGCAAGCCCATTGCACAGCCCAGACGGTTGACTCCCAGGGCTTCTGCATGTTTGTTGCCGAACCCTTTCAGGACATGTCGCAACGTTTGGCGGGAAGCCTGCCACAGTCTTGGAAGGGAGATCAGCAAGGTGGTAAGCGAAGGTGAGGCGGCATGCAGCTTTTGCAGTCCTGGTGAATACTGCGGCCCCAGCAGTTTCACTGATTGGGCTTGCATGGTTTACGTATGGTTTACGTATGCATTTACAGCTCCAAAAAGTCTTAAGATCTTCAATATCCGCATTCTATTCTAGGCCTGTCAGAAGCAATGCCATGCACTGTCGATAGTCACCAACCATCAAGGCCTGGAGCTGTCAGCCCTGAAGAGGCAGGAAAATGATAACAGTAGATCTCAACCGGCACAGCAAAAGAGACTTTGCTTAAGTCACCCTCAGGTTGTTGAGCCACTTGCTGAAGACGCTTGCAGCTCAAAGAATGCTGTCCTACCCGAAAGTGAATATTTGTCCATGATTGGAGAGCTGCCCAATTGTGAAGTCAAAGAAATGTGAGGTGGAGAACGAGCCTGGTAGAAGCCCACAAGTGGACCATGCCTCATATTGACTATTTTTGACTGCTTGCTCTTTTGGATTCCAAATCCTGCACTGATACTCCCATTGGACCACAAGCGGAACAAAAACAAGGTCAGAGATCCTGAGCACACAATGCCGGCGCTGTTCTTAGAGCTGATATTGCGAGCAGATGTTTATGGGTCGGCCACCACCTAGCAACCATTTCACATCTTATTGTGAAAACTAAGGCGCCTGCGGATGAGGTGAGGAAGCTGGTGCGTAGTGCATTTGATTGGTTGAGCTTCTGAATGCAATACACAGGTCAGAGTGCCCCCTGTCAGGCTTCTCCCGTAAGAAGTCCAAACCGACGACGGCGTCCAGTGGTGGCGTCACGCGCCCGCTTTTGCTGTGGTGTATATAGTTGTATTTTGATGTATTTGGACTGATGGATGTGCTTATGCAAGCACGGTCAAATAGATGTTCTTCCCCTGCTTACCTTGCTTCAAGGTCTTCTGAAGCGGCATTGCGAGAGATGGAGGAATGTGATTTGCTTCTGGCTCAGTGAGTCTAGAGTCTAAAGTCTTGAAGGGTCACTGAAGATGCCGCCACACGCCATTTCATTATTGACTGCTTGCCAAGCACCAGGCCAAACATTCCAAGATCAGCATCATCTAAGCAGGGCTCGATGCCGCCCCAGGGCTCAGATGAGAACATCGACCTTGGAAGATTCATATGCTTGAGCTGCTTGAGGCTTGCACTTCCCAAAGGAATGCGAGCAGTGTCGCACCGTGACGCAGCGACCTCACACTTGGTAGGAGCAAGAAGCTACTAGGAGCAAAGGGCATCGCTACTAGGGGCTCCTGGCCATACTACTAGGAACAAGAAGCTATTGGAAACAGGAAATATATACCAGTAGAATTAAAAGTAATTAGAATTAAGTTTAATTAATCGTTCAGCCATTGGACTTTGGGATGCTTGCGCACGTAGAGTGCCAATGCCCTAGGTGTCCGCGCCTGCAAGGCGGGTGCGGAGAGCTTCTCAACTGGATAGAATAAGTTTTGCCACCAGTTCGAGGTCGCCCAACATGTCCTCTCCCGTGTCTTTGTCACCTGTTCGAATCTTAGACCTCAGCTCAATTCGGACCATCACCCTGTTTGCTGGCTCCAGTCTGACAAGTTCACATAGACCAAGGGTGCAGACCAGTCTCCGGTCCGCTTTGAGGGGTCAAACCTCAGGCCGCCTGTCATGAAGCAGCTGTGGCTGTTTTGCATTTCGTTACCGGGTATGGTGCATACAGAGTTGGGTTGGGAGGTTTGAGATGCCAAAGCAAGCTTCGACTGCTTCAACTCATGTGCCCTCAAAGCTGCGCGCTTCTGCTTCAACTGCTGCACACGAATTGGTAGAAACTTGAGACAAGAACACTGGGTGCAGAGCATCGCAGAGCTATTCGGCTATTCGAGGTACCACCGGGGAAGCATGCTGCGCGTTCGTGCCTGAATCCGTGAACGTCGAGAAGCAGATGGCAGATACCACAGCCAACCAACTACACTCCTGAATCCTCCCAAGGACAACCACAGCCACCTCCTAAGTATCCACCTCCTGGAGGGCTTCATCCTCGGAGCGTCTTCTTTGGCAGTTTGTGTCTAATAGGAATTATATATAGTTATATAATATAGGAATAGCATTTACTTTGAGAATGTCTTGTCTATCAGGTCTGTCGATGCAGCCCTGCTCTTAATATCATTGAATCGTTTGCCGATGGCTCTCAGTTTAAAGAACTTAGTCAGACTGAGCCGGACTACTGTAAGCAAATTATTGCCTTTGGCTAGTTGGTCACAGCAGGTCCACCATCTTCCTGGTGGGCCTGGCGGGCCTGGACTACCACCGATGCCTGGGAGCTCTAGATGTGTACTGTGTTTACTGTAAAGAAACTGTTTTGTTGTGTTTCTGAGACCTCAGAACTGAGGCCGAAGCATCCTCCAAAACCACCTCCAAAGGTTCGTGGCAAAGCCCTGCTTCCAACGCCACCATCAGGTGCATCCGACTTTCCAAGCGTTCCCAGAAGAGAAAGACAGTTAACATCAGTCAACACAGTGCAGAGGTGGAACGAGTTCCTTTTGTCGACAGGGCCAATTAGGCTGCACTGCGAAGTGCCAAGGGTAGTGATATTGTGTTCAGGACCACCACCTGCTCATGCTATTGTTTTGGCCAAAGGAAAGCCCCAGGACTGCGCAAGGGATACTTTGTGGGCTTTTCAATGTTCATCAAGCGCTCGCCTTTGCCAGGATTTCTCCAGCAGCAGCGGTTTGCAGGCAAGCTTCGCTTCAGGTTGTGTTTGCGCATGAACATCCATAGCCAAACCCACCAGGCGGTGCTTGCGAAGGCAAAACCGCCTCCGCCATTGGCAGCTGCCTCAATCACAGGAGTAGTCAAATGAATACTTGTGGCTGAGCTTTTGAACGCTCACAAGCATGAAATGGTAAGACTTTGGATGAAACTCTGCGGAAGTTTGCTGAAGCTTGTTTGTTTTTGTTCCTAAGCACTGGTGCAAAAAGTACTCCATTGTGTCAGGTGCATCCACCTTCTGAGCCACTGCCCTCTTTTGTATACCGGGCAAGTTCGCAAGCTGCGTCAGCCTCAGTTTTGCAGGTGGGGACATTTTTGTAGTGGAACATGTCATTCAGAGTATCTGTCTTCGATCTTGGGTCTAGGAGTCTAGGCTGTAGGCAGAGTGGGTTTCTAGCATCTATATAGTAGCACCCAATAGCAAAAGGATAATACACGAATATCTCTATATATATAATTACATCATCTATTCACGACACAAGTCAACAGCATCTTTTGACGACGGTTAGCTTTGCTGCCGTGCGGTGAGGCTGTCAACAGCCGGCCGTTGAGCGGCTGTTTTTGTCCGACAAGCCCATCCCAATGGATCTAGCTGATTCCGTAAACGCCTGCAGCGAATTTACATTTGGGCATGAAGGTTGGATTGAAGAACAATCCGCCCTCACACGAACCTCCCTTTGACACACCGGCTGCTTTCTCACAAGCGCGAAAAGCACTATAACATTATCAAATGGATTGCCCAGCGCAAATGTACAATACTATACCAAGCCAGTGGCGTTTGAGGTGCAAACCGAACCCTTTCCATTCCGCGGATGCTGCACCTGAGCCAAGTGATGTACAGCACAATCACATTCACCCACAAGATTCCCAAAGTACAAGTGTAATTACTCAGCTCTGGCCGTTCCAGGAAGATGTCCAAAGAGCGCAGGCCATACAAAGCTTGTGGCCGTACACCACCATTGCACCAAGTTCGCATGAACCATCAATCTGAGTGCCACCAAGCACCGGACATGCACAGGAGGTGTTCCAATTGAAGGGTCTCAGCAACTTCCACAACTCAGGATTTGTTAAAAGGGCATTCTTCCAATTCTATCGGCTTTGATGTCCTGTGGTGGGAACAAAGCTCTTGGAAAGTAGGTATGTGTTAAACGCAGTTTCAATTTGTTGACATGTTTCTGCTGTGTTGGAACCTTTTTGCATTGCTGTGCTACAAGTGTTCTGCGTGTTTCCACGAGTTGCTTGGCTTTGCTCCCATGCTTTGATGTGGGGTGCCCCATCCTATTCACAAGGCAAGGGCTTGCCTTTGGGCAATTTTGGGCAAAGACACTGCGCCCTGATGCCAATTCCCTCCAGATGTTTCCAAACCGATCGCAACCAAACCTGGAAGCAGCCGAGCAAGCCGGCCAGCAAGCAAGCGCAGTTGCCAGGCAACTCCAGCTAGAATAGAAGCCGAACATGAAAGAAACACCCACCACACGCATCCGGTCCACAAGCACCACACAAGCACAAGCAAAAAACAACATCAAAAAAAAACACGAAGAAGCAGCAATATCAAAAGCAGCAGGCGGGTCATATGTAAGGCACGACAATCAAAAAAGCCAGCACTGGACCCTTCTCAGGATCCACTGGAGTCTAACAAAGTGCAATGGGATTCTTTTGTTCAGATCTACACTGAGGCCTTGCAAGCTATCATGGATGGAAGGGAGAACGGTTCCAAGGTTGGAACTATTCAGTGGCTGTCACGAGGAAAACGAGAGAGAGAGAGAGGGAGAGAGCGAGAGACAGACAGACAGACAGACAGAGACAGACAGAGACAGACAGAGACAGACAGAGACAGACAGAGCAAGACAGCCAGACAGCCAGACAGCCAGCCAGACAGCCAGACAGACAGAGAGCCAGACAGCCAGACAGCCAGACAGCCAGCCAGACAGCCAGACAGCCAGACAGCCAGACAGCCAGACAGCCAGCCAGCCAGCCAGGCAAGCAGGCAGACAGGCAGACAGGCAGCCAGGCAGGCAGGCAGGCAGACAGAGAGAGACAGACAGAGAGACAGACAGAGAGAGACAGACAGAGACAGACAGAGACACAGACAGAGACAGACAGACACACAGACAGACACAGACGGAGACAGACAGACAGGCCAGGCCAGACCAGACCAGACCAGACAGACAGACAGACGGGTGCACAATACACAAGAGGGAGGGCACACAACATCATACAACTGATTGTTTCGACTGCTTTGGAGTGCCGTCGCTCCCAAGATCCGTCGTTGCGAGGCATCTGCTTTGGAACCACTTCCTCCAAAGGCAGAAATGTTGCACTGCACAGTGCTGACATGTGGTGACACTGTTCATATTTCACACCCATTAGGCGCCTCCGCTTAATGACACACGGGCTTTTGCTGTTCGGCGCTGAAGCTGTGCCACTCCGCCAGTGTTCTACTCTTAGCCATGGCCACGGCACTCAGGCTTTGCCTCCAATTGTCAAGGAGTATGTGCCACTTGACAAGGGTCCGAAACCAGTGCCGGAATTCGTTGTGAAGGTGGGAACGCTGTGAGAGAGCCAGCTGTGGCTTCAGATTCACATTTGTGTGGGCTTCAACTTGCACAGAGTAGTTCACCAGGTAAGTGTGTGGACTGTCTACCTGTTTGTGTGAGAAGCTCAGTTCCATCTTTCAAAGCTCTCAGTTCCATTGGTTTCAACCTCAGGTTTTGGATTTTTGTGTACAGCATTAGCATTATTGCGTATTACGGAGTCTACATGGCAAGCAGCAGTGCCTGGCCCTCAAACACGGCCCCGGTCTCCATGTAGCACTCGTTTGCCCTTGTTTCGCCTTTGATTTACCAGATTTGGGCAACCTATGCGGCCACGCTTTGTGGTTGTCTTCTGAACTTTGGAATCTTCGAGAGCAAGGGCCCAAGTGAAGTTCCAGCTCCAGCTTACTTGGGACATTCCACCAGCCTTCGTTGGCTACAAAAGCACCTGTCGAGCAAGGGTGCCATCAATTAAATTCGTTCCAAGGCATGAAGTGTGTCATTCTGGGTTGTGTGGAGCTAGTCAAGCATGAGACGGCTTCGCCCTTGGCAACTGAATCATTGCAACACAGGGGGGTTGAGATGCCTGAGATGTGTTGTTAACAATTGAGGTTAGACGCCAGGCCGAACTTGATGCAAGGAGAACTCGGATGGTGAGGGACTCATCCAAGTCACCAGTTTATTTTGTGCCTGATGCTTCCGGGACTCCTTTCAGCGGTCCTCATTGACGCCATTGACCTGCACAGCACAAACACACAGGAAGGTGGAATACTTGAGCAGTTCTGAATTCAACAGAATGCTGGAGAGCTGGCAACTGGCCCAGGTATTGAAGGAGCAACGCTTGCAAGAGCGACGCTCGCGCTCGCAGGCCAGTGGGTTGACCTCCCTACAGTATGTCAAGAGATAGTGTTGAGGGAACCGGAGCCAACCCCCAAATTACAGGATAATACAAGTTAAAAGATGATTAATGATACAAGCTAAGCAGATAGAATCTGGCGGCTTAACCACAACTCACAGCGCCCAATTTGTGGCTTGGACAGTCCTTTGGTAGCACATTGCATGTTGATCAAAGCGCGTAGAAGGCCGATAGAAGGTCAATGGACTATCCGATGGAGAGCTATTGTATTCATTCTTGCCTGGTCCAACTTGCATGTCCAAGTCTTGCAACGCTGCCGTATCATTGCGTTGGGATTTGGATGGATTTGGTAATGTGTAGGAATGTGTAGGATCCCAGCCAGACAATGCAGCGCGCACACACACACATGTGTGTATCTATGATCTATAGATGTTAATTTACTGTATATAATTTTATTATATTGTAATATGACAAAAAATTTGATAGTTTAACATATTTTTATATAGTATTTTTTGATACTTACACGACACATATGTTGCCGTACACGGCTAGGCTAGTGCTGGCTTCTGGCTCCCGGCTGTGACGTTTGCTCGAGCCCTGCCAGTTGGTAAGTCTGCTCTCGACCGAAACTCGAGCTGACCCTTTTCGTCATGGAGGTGCTTTTTGATCCCCGGTTGTTGCCTCCCCCCCGTGTTGGGGAGCGGTATTCGAGTGTGTTTCGTGCCGGGGATCCTTCAGCCGAGCTGCCTTTGTGGGATCTTCGTGGAACTGCCTGTTCTATCGCCGGAGGGCATGTGGGTGTTGTCTTCCCTTGTTCAGGTTATGATCTCAAGGTCCTGCAGGTTTCGCCTTTGCTGCTTTGGGCTGATACAGACTCATGGTTTTCTACTTCCCCTTCTTCACGAGAGCCGTGCTTTCCGCGTTACATCGTGGACATTTGCTCGGGAATGGGTGCGATGAGCCTTGGACCTAGGTTCTTAGGCTGTGAGACCTTGGCCTATCTCGAGATCAATGAGTTAGCTCGTGCTCACTTGAAGAGGAACACATCGGCCAGCATCATTAGTGGCAGCGTGTGTCATGATTCGGTCCTCAAGCAACTTCACCAGAAGGTTGATGATTTTGATTTTGCTGTTTGCTCAGGTTTCCCCTGTCAACCATTTTCAGTTCAGGGACATCAAGGGCACCAGAAAGATGAAAGGGCTCTGGTTTTTTGGGGGACCTTGAGATCCCTTTTGCTCCTTCAACCAGTCTGTGCTTGGCTGGAGTGCACTCCGGGAGCAGGTTCAGACCAAGGAGTCCAGGATGGCCTTCAGCAGCTGTGTGTGCTGCTGAACTGGCAACGCCACGAGTTAGTCTTTGACCTGGCCGATCAGTGGCCTATGCATCGTCGACGCTGGTGGTGCGCTTTGTATCCTTCCAGCTGGACCGGAGCTCCTTTGCGGCCTTGGCCTAGAATGGTTCCACCTATGCAGATTGGGCATGTGCTTGATTCATGGGGCTGTTGGCCACTTCATCATGAAGAAGACTTGCAGTTGTCCGCCTCCGAGCTGCAAGCTTACAGCAATGCTGAGTTTGGATCGGATGCGCGGCTTCTCCATTCTCAGATGGCCTCGCCAACGGTTTTGCACTCTTATGGTTGTGCTCTTAGCAGCTGTCCCTGTGGATGCAGGGATCGACCACTGGCATTGACCTCATTGTTGAGCAAAGGGCTTCGTGGATCCTTTGTGATTTCGGAAGTCCACATGAACCCAAGGTTCTTGCATCCTGAGGAGTTGGCGATCCTGTTGACTCTTCCAATGGGGCAGGAGTGGGATACGTACCCTCGATCTTCGCTGTGCCTTTTGGGTCAATGTGCCGCTCCACTTCAGTCGTTGTGGGTCTTCGTCCAAATGCTCAATGCCTCAGCAAGTACGGTGCCGGGACTTCATCGCTTAGATCCGGATGCAGTGCTTGCTGGCTATAAGGCAGCCCTACAGAATCAGGTCGTGGCCAAATTTCCAGCGGCTGAACCTCCTCGTCCACAAGCTCTTCGTCTTCGGCTGGACACAGGGGCTGAATTCTGGTTGCTCAAGCGAGGCACCGTGACGGTTAGCCAGCTTCTTCAAGCTGAACACATTCCTTGGGTTGGGGTGAGACTGCTTGTTGCACATCGGCCAAGGGTCAGCTGGCCCGTGATGAGGTGATCAATGAAGAATTTCCCATTCAGCTGTGGCATCATCCTAAACGTCAACGGCGTGATCCTCCTGTTGGACTTCTCGTCATTGGGATTGAGCACCATGGCAGTTTCTTGATTTCGTGCTTGGAGGCCGGTTCATTCCTTTTTGAAGCCTTGTATGAACACCACCTCATCGATGTGGACTTCCTTGTGAATGAAGATGGCAAGGTCTTCGGTAAGGACTATCGTGTTTGGTGTACACTTCGGTTGAAGACCATCACTCCGGCATCCTTCCCACGGTTGGGCCCATTGCCTATCTGCTCGTCTTCTACACAGGCTTTTGGGGAGTTCACTTGCCTTGAGGAGGGTCTTGCTGGTGCTACGGTCTGGCAGGCCATGGTGTCGCTTTGTCAATCTTCTTTGCAGGGGGAGATTACGGAGGTTGTCCAGCTTCATCCCGGTTTCCTTGATCAGCTACGACTGGGTTCTATCACGCAACAGCAATGTGTGGCACTTCGCTATATGTGGCATCAGAGCGCTGGCTATGCGGTGGGTTGTTTTTCGGCTCAAGGGCACTGGGCTGTTCTCTGCTGCAGACAAGATGGAGATGAGCTTCATGGGGCCTACTATGATGGGTTGCGCTCTCGGCTACAGCATGATGCATGGCTCCTGTTTTCTCGTTTGGCGGATCTTTTTCGGTTGCAGCTGGGGAGCTTCACTTCGCACTGCCTTGTTCGCCAGGAGCACTCCACTACTTGTGGCACGGTTGCTCTTGCACATGTGGCGTTGCTTCTTGGTCTTCAGGGATCCTTTACTCCGAATGACATCTGGACGTGGCATCAGTGGTTGCTTCAGCACCAACAACAATCTGATTCACTATGTGCTTGTGGACCGGAGGATCCCACTTTGAATGAGTTAGCTGTGCTCCTTCATGGCAAAGGCGTGCCTGCTGCGGAATGCAAAGCCCGAGCTTTGGCTGCCATGACGGCTCTTGGGCGTGGTCCTGTGCTCAATGCCATGGCAGCAAAAAATCCTTGGCAGAAGTTGAAGGGCTTGGCGTCAAAGCCGGCCACACCATTCCGTTTTTTGACACCTGCTGAACTGTCTGAGTACATTGATCAGCAGTCAAAGTTGAAGCATGGCACCTCTCACAAGGAGAAGAAGCAGAAGTCTCAGGCACAAGCTTCCATGCCGAAGCCCATTGAGTTGGATCCGAAGCAACTTCGATTTGTGCCCGCTCACTTTCGTGACCAAGATGGGGATGAAGTCCCACAAATTGATCTCTCACAGGTTCTCTCCGGTGCCCGGGGTTTAGCAATCTGCACTCGCAGGGATGCTCAGCCCTTCATTGATGACTTTGCTGCCATTAGCACCGATGCTTTGGGTCTTCTCTTGACCAGTGAAGTTGATAGCTCAGAGAAAGGAGCAGCCAAGATCGGAAATCTTCGCTATCCCGTCACCTATTTGGGCACTGGCGAACAGATCCTCATCAATGGGGCTCTTTTGACTCTGGGTGACCTTGCCATCAATCGACACCTCGCTAAAGGTCCGGATAAAGATCCTGACCATGAGAAATCTGTGGTCATTAGAGTGCAGGCCTTTAAGGATGAACTCCCTCTGGCATGGACTACCTTTGTGCAAGCTCCGTTGAAGCACATCATTCAGATGACATTGCCCCTTCAGACATGTGAAGGGCAGGCATGTGGTGCTAATTGTGGCCGATTTCATCCAGCCGTTGACGCAGCGGACTCCGCTGTCATTCATGAGATTTGGGCTCGCAGATTTTGCAACCTGGATTCTAAGACTGTTTCAGCAGAGCTTGCCGAATGCTTTTGCGCCTTCATGAGGATTGCGGAACCGGCTTTGAAGCAGGTCGTTGCTTCCTGTGTGGAGGGCCTCTATTTTGAACCGAGAGCCTCTACCGGTACGGGATCTCATCCAGACTACTTAGTTGTCTGGTTGCCGCCATGTTCTCGTCAAGATGCAGTTCACAAGCTACGTACTGCATCAACGGCCATCAGCCTGGTTCGGTTCAAGACCAAATATGGACTTCGTGTGGGTTGTGGGGATGCCGAGGCTCTTCACCTCAAGTTGCGACCCAATACCGCCTTTTTCGCCTGCAAGCCTACCTTTACATATCGGGCTCATCCTTTGCCTCATGGTTTGGACCGCAAAGCCATGACCAAGTTGCTCAGTGATTGGGGCTGGAAGAAAGCGCGACCTTTGCAGCCTACTCGTGGCAGCTCGATCGGTGGAGCCTGGTTGATTGGGGCTGATGAGGAGCCACCGTCTCCAGTGGTGACAGCTTTCAAAGCCGATGTGCTTCTGAATTTGCTTCCGGCTAAGGAGACTGTTGAGCGACAGATTCCTTTCTTTGCCTCACGCCGGACTATTCAGCACGCCAAATCCTCCGGTACTCCGACACCTGGCAAGGAAGCAGTTAGCAGTGATCCCTGGCAGAATGGGTCCGATCCATGGAAGGGCTTTGTTCCTACGGTTGCTCCTACCACCTCTTCGGCGGGGCGTAAAGCACTCGACGATGTCGCCGACAAGTTGCGGGCAGACATCAAGGCTCAGGTCTCTAAGGAGGTCGCTAACCTTACTTCTGCTTCTTCGGCTACTAGTTCGGTGACTGATTTGCAGGCTTGGAAACAGCAATCTGATGAACGGTTCCAAAAGCTGGAATGTGGTTTGAAGGAGTTGGGGCATCAGCAGCACACCATGAAGCAATGGTGTCAGGAAACGGCACAGAAGCTGCAGATCTCAGAGCAGCAGCAACATCAGCTCAACCAGAACATACAGCAGGTCCAAGCTGAGGTGCAGACGTCCTCGCAGCAGCTTCACCAACAGGTGCGTA